GAGCCATGTTTTATACAAAAACATGGTTTATGACGCAGAGTTGTACATCAATGAAATACTTACAGCTGACCATAATCTTTGTTTTCAGGTCCTCATATTCAGCCTGTAGTGTGGTGATGTCAAATGCAAATGTTTCTGTTGTATAGCTGCGTAGTCTTCCCTTAGATTGTCTTATCCTCCCCACAGCATCAAACAGCTCTGACATCTGCTGCTTGTTCTTGTTCCTCAACGCAATTAACAAGGTTCCTCCAGTTTCAAATTTAGGAACATCACAAAGTTCCTCAAAGATCACATTTCACAAGTTTCTCAGCCACCATAGTTTATCCTACATGCTTGGAAGTTGATGGTGAGGCAGGGGAGATGTAATCAGCAACTACACCACAAAATGCCACTAAATACACAGGACCTTTAAATAAAAGATCTGAGTAATTCCTCCACCATTGATCATAATAAAACAAAACAAAACATTTTAGCCACAAGGAAACATGAACTGACTCTGTAACCAAAGACTGAATGAGCCCAGTTTCACAGCAGCACCCCTCTAGTGCCCTCTACTGGCAGAATATTGTAGTACTCCTTTGACACTATAAAGTCAATATGTGCCTCCAGCCAGAGTTTATACAATTAAATATACAAAAGTATTTTTTTTTAGTGTCAAAAGCATAAAAGGTCAATAATAAAATCTTAATCTCAGCTATGTGACTGTGTCAGGCGTTAGTCAGGATGTGGTGGTGGGACACATGACACACAAACAGCATGCTGTACATTGGCAGGTGAAAGATGTGTGTGTGGATACAGTCTATAATGGATACTGTTGTGGTTTATTTATTAACAGAAATCAATGAAACTACTAACTTAAACTTTAAGCCATCTGACTGTAGTGAGAGACCGGTTACTCTCACAGAGAAAGAGACACAGACTCACAAACGACAAACAGAATTGGCAGTTTTACTCCACAATTTATTTGCATCTGCACAGGACACAAGCAAACCAAGTTTCCTCGAGATCAACTGATCTTACTAAAACAGGTCACATCCATTTATACCTTTCTACGAGACACTACCCAATCACATTATGAGTGCATATACATGTTATGATCCTACAACTTCCTATATGAAATGCTTAGTACACCCACACATTGATCCCTTGTCCCTTATGAAGACTGTGTCCCCTATAGGGGAGTATCATCCAGGTTTCACTGTCCTTTATAATCCTTTATAGCAGATACTAGATTTTTACATTCTGTGCATTTCATTTCATCTACACTAACAACGTTTACTCTCTTCATTAGTGTATGTGAATTCCCTTATGCAGAAACTGTTTAGATATGAAGTATTATTGTGTGCTCCATAGAAACATTCCCAGGGTGCATTTTCACCACTACAATACAGATATAAACAAGAATGTAAAAAACGTATTCAGTGCAATAACATGTATACTATGCAAGTATATACTTATTTGAAATAATAATCAATTTAAAAAGTGGTGATACTAATTATTCTGCAAATACAGCCCCCTTGGAACTTTAATTTATTGATCGTAAAACAGCTGCAACAGTTAGTTAGCCACCGTGCCAATCACACACCACAAAGTATATGGAAACAAAGCAATGTGAATGCTTATAAAAAAAAACAAGTTGCCTTTGATTTTCAATTAATTATAGAAATGTAAAAAATCATCTTTTGCAATTTTAACTTTTTCACACAATTTCACTAAAGAAAATGCCTAAAAAGATGGCAACATGCATTTTTTAGAGAAGCAGCTTTCATAGCTATCTTTCAGCCAACAAGCCTGCAAAATCTGAATTTACATAAAAAGAAATCAAATGATAACATAGCATTAATAGCCCAGACACTTAATGACACTTATTCAAATGATGTTCCATTTGACAACACAACAATGATCAAGAGTCAGTGGGGAGATCAGAGGATCATACATTTCTCTTTGTATTTCTGTTGTAAGACATTAACTTCTTGTTCATGTTGTTTCTTCAACTCCTCCATTTGTTTTTTCAGTTCTTTTTCATTGTCAGCTGAGCAGGTTTTTAACTTACTGCACTCTTCGTCTTGTCTCATATGCTTTTTCTTCAAGTCATCCATTTGTTTTTTCAGTTCTTTTTCATTGTGACTTGAGAGGTCTCTTAATAGATTGTACTCTTTTCCAAGGCTCTCTTCTGTCTCTTGCATTTGACTCTCATATTTTTCCTTCAGTTCCTGCATTTCCTCCATGTGTTTTTCTACCAACGCTGCAAAATCCTTGGTGTATTTCTGTCTGAACTCATTGAATTCTTCAGCTTGTTTTCTGGCCTCCTCTTCATATTTCTTCTTCATATCCTCCAGTTTTTTCTTATAGTTCTCCTCGATGTCTTTTTTCTCTTTTTCCTCTTGTTCTCTTCTGATTCGATCCTCTTCTTTTCTTTTCTTTTCATAGTTTTCTCTTTCCTGTTCGTATTCTTCTTGAAGCTTTTTAAGTTTTTTTTGTTCCTCCTGTCGTCTCTGTTCATCTTCTCGATATCGATTCTCCCACCATTCTGTTCTTTCTTTCTCCCAGTGCTTTCGTTGCTTTTTCATCTCTTCCCTACTCAGCTCCAACTCTCTGTCAATGGTTTCCTTTTCCTTTGATTCAGACTTTATTTTTTTCTCCAGAGCTTCAAGTTTTTGCTCCCACTCCAGTCGTTGAAGTTCTTCCTGTCCTTTTCTCTTCCTGTCTTCTTCTTCTCTCATTTCCTGTTCTTTCTTTCTCTCCTCACGTTCCTTGTTGATGTTTTCCTCCATTTCTTCAAGTTGTTGTGTTCTCAGTTTTCTCTCCTTTTCAATTTCTGCTCTCTGTTCTTCCATTCTTCTTTTCATTTCTTCCATTTCTTCCTCATGTTTTCTTTGAAGCTCTTCCCTCTCTCTCTGCATCTCTTCTTCTTTCTCCTTCAGGATCCTGTCCACTTCCTTCTGTATCGCTGCCTCGGCCTCTTGGAACATCTCTGAGGTGTAGCAGCTGCCACCATTTTCCTTCATCATTTTGTTGGACTTTGTCAATAACTCTCTGACTTGTGTGCGGTCTGTCTTATTCTTATTATTAAACACATGGTATCTTCCTCCACAGTCAGTTAGCAGTTTTTTTAAACAGCCATCACGGTCTCCTTCTACATAACTCTCAACTGACTGATCTTCCAGTTCATCTCCTCGAGTGAATATAATGATGATGAAATCTCCTGAATTCTTGCCGAAGCATTTCTTGATCAGTTCCACAGAGTCTTTTTCTTCCTGTGTAAAGCGACCGATCTGCAGCACCAGTAAGATGACATGAGGTCCAGGAGACAACAGGCTGATGCATTTCACAAGCTCCTGTTGAACGTCATTATTGGACAGAGTCGTGTCAAACAAACCAGGAGTGTCGACCACAACAACAGGCCGACCATCAATGTCTCCTGATGCTTTTTCACAAAACCTGGTCACAGAACTTGAGCAGGCTTTAGATTTAAAGCTGGGGTTGGTA